ATATTTTTTCATTCCTCTTTGAATTTGCTTTCTTGACCTCTTCATTTGTTTTCCAAGGGGGCTGACGCAGTGGTATGAAAAATGACTTTGCCTTCTTCCTGAATATTATGATTTGCTTGTCTGATGTGAACCAAGCAACATTTCATTTTTGCCTTATGGAAAATAAAAATTTGTTTAACTTGTCCCGATAACCTTGTGGTTTTTTTCATCTTGTGTATGTGTTGTGGTTGGGTGTGGTTTGTGGCTTGGCTGTTCACAGTATATTTTCAGTGTTTTTGGGGATCCCTGAAAGAAAACTATTTCCCAAAGTGATCTCCTTGTGGTTCTCATTGGTGTGTTTAAGTACAATGATCATGAAATAAACTGAGTCACTCATTTTTATGGTTAGGCTCAGTTAATATGAAATAAAGTAAATAACCTGACCTAGAATCTCTTTCTTTAACTATAGCTGAATACATTTAACAGTAACTAATTTGAACTCGAATTAAATTGCTTATACTTAAACAAGCTTTCACTTTCATGGTTTTGACAAGATGCTATAATACGTAGTAGTAAAGTAAGTAGAACTTTCACGCTATTATGAATGTTTTGTATTTACAACTTTGTACATTTTTGAGATAATTATACGTAAATGGGAGGAGAAAATATGTGTACCTCTAGAAGTAGTTTAATTAGTTGAAGTTAAAATAAAAGATTTAACCAGATTCAAAAACTTTCATTTAATTTAATTTTCTTCCACTTTTATGTTTTCAAGCTTGACATATGAGATGAAAGTTTCATTTAAATTGTTTTGTACTTTAAAAATCCAAGTTAGTCCAGTTTGATTTTACAATGACTAATAAATACATCAGCTACTTGAACAAGTATAAGTCAGAAGTCTGTGTCCCTACTGCTGAAAGCAAATATGTTCTTAGAATAAAAGGGATGTCCTGTTATGCAAATACTTTATGACATGCTCACATCTCCAGCATATATCTTACAAACGTCTTTGGATCCTTATTGCTATGAAAGACTCTTCTAAAGAAGACAACAATGAATCAACTCTTCACCTTCATCCTGCTCTTGCTGAATTTGTCTGGAACGTTTACCAAGTACATTTATGTTGACCAGAAAATGGGTTGGCTTCAAGCTCAGAGTTACTGTCGGCAGAACTACACAGACCTGGCCCCTGTAAGTACTAAGAAGGATGTCAACAAACTAAAGCAGCTCTCCAGCAATGTAAATCACTCTATCTGGATAGGACTGGTGAGAAATTCGCCAGGTAATGGTCACTGGACATGGTCAGGAGGTGGAGTGGTGTCCAGGAATTTCTGGGC